CCCCAAGGGAGGAGCGGCCCCTCCTGCCGAGGTGGAATTCGGGGCTCTGTGGCCCGGCTGGAGGTGACTCCAGTGCGGTTTGTGTCCTCGGAGGGTGGCAGGGACGCCTGGGATCCTGCAGGAGCAGCCTGGTGCATTCCAACTCTCATCCCAGCCGGGGTGTGGGATGCAGGTCCTTCCTGAGCATCCTGCGAGCTCCTTCACTGGCCCTGGAGCATCCCAAAACTCATCCCAGCAGAATGTGGGCTGCAGATCCTTCCCGAGCATCCGGTGAGCTCCTTCCTGACCCTGGAGCATCTTGCGAGCTCCTTTCTGGCCCGGGTGCACCCCAAATCTCATCCCCGCAGAATGTGGGATTCAGGTCCTTGCTGAGCACCCTGTGAGCTCCTTTCTGGCCCTGGAGCACCCCAAATCTCATCCCACCCTGAATGTGGGACACAGGTCTTTGCTGAGCATCCTGTCAGCTCCTTCCTGGCCCTAGAGCACCCCAAATCTCATCCCAACTGGAATGTGGGATGCATGTCCTTCCCGAGCATCCTGTGAGCTCCTTCCCTGACCGTGGAGCATCCCAAATCCCATCCCAACCGGAATGTGGGATGCAGGTCCTTCCCGAGCATCCTGTGAGCTCCTTTCCGGTCTTGGAGCATCCTGTCAGCTCCTTCCTGGCCCTGGAGCATCCTGTGAGCTCCTTTCTGGCCCTGCAGCACCCCAAATCTCATCCCCGCAGAATGTGGGATGCAGGTCCTTGCTGAGCATCCTGCGAGCTCCTTTCCTGACCCTGGAGGATCCCGCAGCTCCAGGGCGCGCTGCCGTCACCAGAGAATCTCCGGAGCTTTTTTTGGAGCTCGGAGCCCGGGGTGAGGAGCAGGTGGGAGCTCCAGCAGCTCCCCCCAGCCATCAGCACCCCTTGGAGGTGATGCAGCAGCTCAGGTTTTGCTCAGCACTTTTGCAAGAGCAAAGGGGACGCTGTGCTCCGGTCGGGGCCGAGATGCGGTAGCAGATAAACCTGCCAGGCCGCCGCGTGACATTACAGAGCAGCCAGGAAGAGGAGAGGACAGGTTTCAGATAAACAACGGGCCCCTTTGCCCACAAGGAGGGGCAGCGTGAGCTCTTTGGGCGCCAGGGAAAGCCCCCCCCGGTCAGGGCAGGATGCTCGCACAGACACAGGCTGGGAGCCCGACCCCGGCAGGGCACAGGGGGATTTCTGCCCCACAGGGGCCGGTGTGAGGGAATCCCTGCTGCCTTTGGACCTGCAGAGAGTTTCCCTGCTGCCCACGTGGGATAAACCACAGCTGGAGCCGGCAGGAGCTGCCCCAGAGCTCGGGGGTGCTGGGGCAGCGGGGGAGGAGGGTCAGGAATGAGGAACCCCCTGGGCTCCAGCAGCCTGAGGAGCAGCAGCGCAGTGAATGCCACGCCGGGGGACGGGGGATCTCCTGTGACACCCCCAGGGGGATTTCCAGCCAGGCCACCCCCGGTGGGCTCGTAGGAGGGTTTGCTGCAAAGGTCAGGGGGCAGCAGAGGAGCTGGTACCCCCGGGATGCTGAGATTGGGGTTCCTGGGGCTCCTCCTGTCCCTGGGGCCTCCGGGGTGTGCAGGATGTGGTTTGGGGCAGAGCAGCAGCTGCTCGGGGCTGCTCCCCTCTCCAGCCCTGCTCACCCCCTTTTCCTCTCTCTCCCCAGGCACTTGGGACCTGAAGGATTTCGTGGAGGATTTTCACCTGGGCCACCCCGTGGCCGCCACCCAGTTCCTCACCAAAAACTGCAAGGATTAACTCCGGCCATCCCACCCGTGCCCTGCACATCCCCACAGCCCAGAGCCACCCCTGCCTGGAGCAGAGGGGACCCCAGACCCACCGAGGATGAGCCCACCCTGCTCCCAGCCCACAGCCCCAACCCCTCCCCTGCCACAGCCAAGTTGTCTCCCCCTCTGGGGATCCTCCCAGCTCGCCTGGTTATCCCAGGAATTTTGGCATCTCCCCTTCTCCCCCCTTCGCCCCGTTTCTGACTTGACCCCTTGCATGTCCCCCTGGCACTTTGGGGACTCGGAGTTTGGTGCCTGAATAAAGTTTGGATGGAGCACAGGGGGCTCTGTGGTGGCAGCGAGTGCGGGCAGGGGCAGTGCCAGGTGAGTCTGACATTTGGCATCTGTGGGCAATGGGAGCAGGGGTGGCCTGCCAGACCCTCGTTTAGGTGAGCCCAGGGTCACCCAGGAGGGGACAGGGACAGTGATGCCAGTCCAGGGGTCCCTGGGTGGCACCGCATGGGAACGGGCACTGCCCTGCCTGTGCCCTCAGCCCGTTTCTCTTGGAAAGCAAAACCCAAATTAAAGGCATAAATCAGCAGAGCTCTGCCTACTGGCCACTTAGCCGGACCTCCCCTTTAATTAGCTCCTTAATTAGGCTTTCATCTAAGACTCAGTTTTCTCCAAGGCTCAGATTCACCTGCCTGCAGCTCCTCCTTGGAGCACAGCCCGGTGTCTGCGCTGTGACAAAGCCACCTCTGGCCTGCCCGTGGCCAGGAATAATGTCCCTCTTGGAGCAAACCATGGAGAGCAGGAGCCCAGGACATTCTGCAGGCAGGGGAAACTGAGGCAGGAGGGAATGAGTGGCTCAAGGCTGGGCAGGGAGGCCTGGGGTCCTTCAGAGGGGTTGTGATGCTCTGGTTGTGATGCTGCACCTCAGAACAGAGCAACCTGATCCCAAAAAAAAACATCTCTGTGCCATCCTGCTGTCACCTTCCCTGGGTCCCCAACAGTGACAACAGATTTCAGTCCTCCCTGGG